TATACCAAACAAACCTAAGAATTATCCCATTATTACACAAGAACTTATTGGTGTAGTTAGGGGCATAAATTAATTTGTGAGCCGCGTAATATTGTTTAAAAAATACTAATTTTACTTGATTTGATTATTAAAATTAATTTATTTTTGTAGGTATGGGTCAAAAATTAAATCTTAAACCTATAATTAAGAGTATAAGTAACTTTACTATCAAATTATATGATAGATGGTGTTAAGAACAATTAATAATTGACAAAATAACTACAATAATGTACATATATTAAAAATTGAAGGACTAAAAATGTATAAATTCAGATAGACTTAACGTACTAACTAATAGAGAGACTAAAAAAATGCATTTTTGATAGCTAAGAAACTAAAAAAGTGCATAAAAAATTAAGGTTTGAAAATTATGTAAAACTTAAAAGTTGAGAGACTAAAATTGACATTTGACTTTTTTTTTATTGTTTTTGAGTTAAGTGTTTTTCAATATGAATTACATTTTTTTATATAATTTAAATATTAAAATTAATAAAATACTATTAATAAATAAATACAAAAAATAATTTTATTAAAGATATTTTGATAATTTCAGGATTTAAACTTTAAAAAAAATACATTTTGACTAAAAAAACACATTTTTTATTTCCTGCTGTATTTAAAATTTGAAAGATTTTGTTCTAAATTGTAACGTAAGGCCCGCGCAATTCCTGCGAAAAGTGATAAAGGGCCACAAATTTCAGCATCAGCATGTTGAGTATCGAATCAGGCCATTTACTTTTCTTCCCTCGGGTTTCCTATGGCTTACCCATCTATCTTTTTAAAATGATAAAGGCGACAAAAACGAGAAGTCGTGGTGGCCAAGTAGTCAGGATTGCGCAAATCAGACTTGAGGCCTAATGGTTCGCCCCCAAACCTTAGGGTTTGGGTGAAGCGGAGGTCAGGTTTCGAGTTCTGTCATCGCTATAAACTCCATCAACTTGCGGCTTAATGACCGCACACCTTATTTAAGGGGTGAAATGTTCATCATTCTGAAAATCTCAATTACTAACAACTAACTCATACTAATTTTTTAACCATTACCCTTATAAAAAAAAAAAAAAAAAAAAGAAGAAGAAGAAAGTAGTCAGGATTGCCTTATCATTGGATGTGGTGTTTAAAATTTTATGTTTAAAATAAATAAATAAATAAGACAAAAGCGACAAAAACATTGACTTATT